TTGTCTTCCAATCCACCGACATAAGATGTCTTCATATTTATTTAGGTTTTCTTTAATTTATTTCAGTGATGTTTTGCAGTGGGGTCAATCCCCAACTGAGGCTTTAAATGACTTCACTTTAGCCCTGGTTGTCACTTTGAAGCCTTTTGAGAGACCCTGAGTGAAAGAAGTCAGCTAACTGCCACCATATTCCTGACCTACCAAAACTGTGAGACAATAAATGTTGCTGTTTGAAGCCACAATGTTTTGAGGTAATGTTATATAGCAGTAGATAATGAAGACAACCAGGAATATGCCCCTCCTAACTTTCCACCTCTCCAACTCCTTTGAGTCATCAGTTCTCAGATTTAAATGTCGATTCCTCAGGGATGACTTTCCCTTTCCCTGACAATCTCCCCCATACCAGCAGGCCTCTGATGATACATTCTAACAGCATCCTCTTCTTCTCTTTTGCAGCACTCATCACCATGGCAATTTGTTCATAATCTGAGTATTTGTTTTATGCCTGTCTTCCCTCAAGACTGTCAGTTCCATAACTGAGCAGGCTGTATTTATTTCATCCACACTGAATTCCCAGCACCTAATATGGTGCCTAGCACAGAGTGGGGACATAGTAATTGTAGAATAAAAAATGTAAACTTAAGAATGAATTAATAAATAAATACATCTAAGCCTCATAGTTCAGAAAGGAGGGAGAGAAAAGCCTAGTAAAGATAGTTACAAAAGTCTCATAATTCCAGGATTTTCTTTTTAAAAAATACTTATTAAACGGGCCAGGCGCGGTGGCTCATGCCTGTAATCCCAGCACTTTGGGAGGCTGAGGCAGGCGGATCACGAGGTCAGGAGATTGAGATGATCCTGGCTAACACGGTGAAACCCTGTCTCTACTAAAAATACAAACAATTAGCCAGGCATGGTGGTTGGTACCTGTAGTCCTAGCTATTTGGGAGGCTGAGGCAGGAGAATGACGTAAACCCGGGAGGCGGAGCTTGCAATGAGTCAAGATGGCGCCACTGCACTCCAGCCTGGGTGACAGAGCGAGACTCCATCTCAAAAAAAAAAAAAAAGACTTTTTAAACAAAACAGGAGGTGCAGTGGCTCACACCTATAATCCCAGCACTTTGGGAGGCCAAGGCAGGCAGATTGCTTCAGCTCAGGAGTTCGAGACCAGCCTGGGAAACATGGTGAGACTCTGTCTCTGCAAAAAATACAAAAATTAGCTGGGTGTGGTGGTACGTGCCTGTGGTCCCAGCTACTAAGGGGGCTAAGGTGGGAGGGTCACCTGAGTCCAGGAGGTGGAGGCTACAGGGTGCCATGAATGTGCCACTGTACTTGAGGCTGGGAGGCTGTTTGACAGAGCGAGACCCTGTCTCAAAAAACAAACAAACAAAAAAACCATGTCAACATATTCTAGTTAAAAATTTGTTATAACAGAGTTTATTATAATCTAATTCTCCACTTTAAAAAAAAAGCCAACCAGGGTTAGCCGATAGTCCAGGAGTTGACGTGGGTAATAGAGGATGAGAGGGTAAAGACAGAGTGCATGTTTAAAAAGCTGCCCCAATATCCAGCCCAATAGGCTGGAATTGATGTTCCTCTGCCCTGGATATTGAATCTGGGAAAGGTGTCCAGTTTTTCTATGAAGCTGAATGCCAAAAGGAGGATGTTGAAGTCTGAGGATAAACCTGTGGCCTGGCAAATTTAGTCCCGTTGTTTCAGGTGACTAAATTCTATACCCTTACAAGACTTTTAAAATGATAATATTATATAATCAACAGCTCTGTATTCCATCTAGTGAATTGGTTTTATTAGCGATTCTTTATCTTCACTGCCTACCAGATAACATCCAACTCACTCCCTAGCCAGCTGTCCAGGACTCAGCTGACCTTTCAGGCCTGCCCACTGCAGACACCATGCTCTTGGCACTCCACAATCACAGGGTCCAGTTTCCCAACTCTGTGGCTTTGCAAGCGCTCTTCCTCTAACTGCAAGTTCCCTTTCAGTACCACCGAATCCCTCCAAAGCTAAGTTCAAATCAGAACTCACCCGCTGCCCTCAGAACTGACTGCTTCATGGCTCTGTCTTCCTGAGGCACCTCGTGCATTTATCACTTCTGTGGCTAACAACATATTTAATATTATATTGTGATGATGTATTTTATTTATCTTCTCTGCTACATAGACCTGGAGGATATTGTGTTTGTCTTCATCTTTTTTCCTACATAACATAGTACATGGCTCTGGATGGAATAGGGGCTTAATATATATTTGTTGTTGAATGAAAGAATGAATGTTAAAAGGCTTCTAAATGAATCTGATATAGTTTAAATCCCAATGCCAGTAATAACAATAATAATATAGTCATAGAAAGAGATTAAAGTTAAAAAGTATTAATTTGCCTTTTTGATTATGAAGTTCTGTTTCCCCGTGTACCAAAGAAGACATCTCATAAGGCAAAAATGAACTTAGAAATGAACAAACAAGGCCGGGTGCAGTGGCTCACACCTGTAATCCCAGCACTTTGGGAGGCCGAGGTAGGCAGATCATTTGTGGTCAGGAGTTGGAGACTAGTCTGGCCAACATGGTGAAACCCTATCTCTACTGAAAATACAAAAAAATTAGCCAGGCATGGTGGCACACGCCTGTAATCACAGCTACTTAGGCTAAAGCAGGAGAATTGCTTGACCAAGGTGGAGGTTGCAGTGAGCCGAGATCACGTCACTGCTCTCCAGCCTGAGCTACAGAGCAAGACTCTGTCTCAAAAAAAAAAAAAAAAAATTCAAAAAATAAACGAATGTTTCTTCACTAGTACACTAGAGCACTGACTAAATGTTCTAATACATTACTCTTAGTAGTCACAT